CTGATGGACAGATACACACTTTCTGACAGACAGACACACACACACACACTGACAGACACACACAAACACCGACAGACACACACACACTGACAGACACACACACACTGACAGGCTGTCATGTATCCTTCATATCCATGTGGCAAAAACAAAGATAATTACCTTCTGAAGATCGAATGCTTCTCGGTGGTCTTCTGCCATGATGCCTGGTTTGTGAGGCATTTTGGTGCACGCCGGCCGCTGCGGACCCACGCAATGATATAGCCCCACGTCCGTCCATGGTAAAGACGACGTTGACATTCAGGTAACGTCACGCAAAAGACTCATACACGTTTTGGGGTCAAGGGCTAGGTACATCCAATCGGATCTGCAAGAGGGCTATTTAAACTCACTTATTCCTCAACTCATTGCCCTGTCGTGGTTTCCCTTACATGGTTATCCGAGAGTGTGCTCCTGATTGTTTTTTTGGGGTTTTTGACTTTGGCTTTATTTTGACTTCCCTGTTTTATGGTACCCTTTACTTTTGGCTTTTCCTTATCGCTGTGTCTTGTTCTGTGTCCCTGACCTCAGATAGTTTTCTGACTATTCTCAGGTACGTTAAGTCTGGCCATTCTAAGGGCCGGTAAGACGTTACCCTTAGTTCTAGGGTGTAATACCTGTGTGCTGGATCAATATAATCCTGACATTACGACATGGCCATATATCCTGCAGATTTGTATCAGCAAATAGTAACTTGTGAGAGAAAGCTAGAAGAGAATGATCACTGTACGGATCAATTTTCCCAAGCTTTCAATACACTACTAATACGTACGGCTCATTTGCAGCCTGAGGTCCCTTCGTCAGGTACATCCCCACCTACTGTACCTACACCTATCATGTATAGGGCACCTACTATCACCCTATCTTCACACCCGCATTTTGAAGGTAATATTCATGATGTTGGGGATTTCTTAATTAAACCAATATAGCTTGGTTGCTACATCTAAATGCTGCTTCTAAGTGTGTGGTTGGAGATATTCTGGAGAGTTTTACAGAAGATTTTGCTAAAGGTTTCCTTTTTTACTGTTACAGGTAAGATTAATCTGTAGGAAAAGGTTACTGATTGCACAAGGTTTGCATCCTTGTTGGTAATTGGTAATTGATAAGTTAGGTGCTTGTTATTGATTGATTGATTGATTGTTGGTTAATTAGCTATTGTTTGCAAATAAGCATAAGCCTACCCAGGTGTTAAACATTCCTAGTGGGTGGTGATTTTAGGAGTTATATAAGGGTTGTTGTTATTAGCTTGGCTAATAGAGCTTGGTTGCTTCATCTAAGTGCTGCTTCTAAGTGTGTGGTAGGAGATATTCTGGAGAGAAACTGGAGGTAATCTGAGGTATTCAGGAGGACAAAAATTTAAGATTTGTTTGATTTAAATAATTCACCTTATTGAAATTGCTGACTTAGTTCAGTGTAATAGTTGTTATGCATTTGTTTCACGTTCTACTTTTTGGAGACTTGGATGCTGTCTAATATGTAGACAGTTCTCTATATTGTGGCAGGAGATTGTATTTTTGAAGTCTGAGATTTGTACATTATCTGGTAAACAAACTCAGGCTGGAACTGCTGCAAAGCTACTGCCGCAGAGACATACTAGGAATGGCAGATGGATTACTGTAGCATCTGGTGGACTTAGAGTTGTGGATAAAAGCCATATTGCACAGTCTGTTGCTCTACATAATTCATTTTCTGCACTTTCAGAGTGTAATGGTATTATGGAGACATTCTCAGGCACCAGGTGTAGTGGTGTTATGGAGACAGGCACTGAGGGTTGTGGTGTTGTGGAGACAGGCTCAGGCACTGAGGATAGTGGTGTTGTGGAGACAGGCTTGGAGACTATGGTGAGGCCTAACAGAAAGCAGTTGTTGTTGGGGGATTCCATCATAAGAGGTGTGGAGATCGACAATGGTGGTCTTGTGAAATGTCTTCCCGGAGCTACTGCTCACAAAGACAGGAGATGTATTTGTAATATTGTTAAGCTAGCAAAGCAGGAAGGGGAATTGGATGTACTTGTCCATCTAGGGACAAATGACTTGGCTTGCAATGAGGTTTCAGAGGTTAAGAAAGTTTTTAGTGTTTTTGCCAATGGTATGCCTGTGCATACCACTCAGAACAACAGGCGGATGCGTATTAGGGACTTTAACTTGTGACTTGGTGAATGGTGTCGTGAGCAAGAATTTGGCTTTATTTCTCATGGTAGCTCTGTTTGGAATGGAAATAAACTGTACAAAAAAGATGGTTTGCATCTTTCTCAAAAGGGAACAAATGTTCTCAGTGAGCAGTTCAGAGGTTTTGCTAGGATGTATTTAAACTAGGAGGGGGGCAAAAGGATGATAAAACATCAATCCAACAAGGACAGAAGCTGCCTGTAGCAAGTGTGTTAAAAAATTATACGCTTAGAGTCATGTCTACAAATGCTCGCAGTTTACAGAATAAGATCCATGAACTTGTGGCAATAATGGCAACTGATAATGAGATTTAGTCGCTGTTACTGAGCCATGGTATAATGAGAAAAATGACTGGGACATAGCAATACCAGGGTACTCTTTATATAGAAATGACAGGGGAGGCAAGAAAGGGGAAGGGGTGGCCCTGTATGTGAAGGATAGCATAAAATCTAGCCTAATAAAAGGTAGTGAGGCGAACATAGAGTACATTTGGGTTACGTTAGAATTTGGTAATCACACAGTAACTTGTGTAGGTGTGATTTATAGGCCCCCAGGACAATTAGAAGAGTTAGATAATCTACTAGTTGAGGAAATGTAGCGTATGCAGTATAACCATGCAAACCGCCAGCCAGGGAACACTCCAAACTCCCGAACGGTACCTGTACGGCTCCTTCCCTTCACGAGCTCCAAATACACGAATTGCCAATATTAGCCGAACGCCAATATCTTCCAAGCGGCAAATAATTCCAATGAGCAGTCTCTAGTCGCCAGTAATAAAATCCCCCCAATAACGAGACCAAGCTCCGCTTTGAGGGTAAAACACGAACTGAGTTTACTGTGGGCTACCTGCCCGTATTTATGCAGGTCTCCCACTTGGTGGACACTCCCCTAGGGGACCAAATGGGAGACTGGAATAACAGAAGGACATGGGGACATTTTAGACATACAACCCCACAATATTCCCAGCATGCATCACAGTTTCCTCCCCTCTGCTTGGGAGATAATTGAGAAGTAATTCAATTATCTCCGAGAGCAGAGGTAAATCGCCATTTTAAATATGTCACAAAACACATTAAAATACATAACTGTATAACTGCCGAACGTATTACATTCGTATAACACATCCCCAGATAGCCTGGATCTGAGTGCATATTATTGGTGAATAGCGCTCAGATCCCATACGCACAGTTCAATCGCCATGGAGTCAAAGTCTATTACAGTTCTTCGGTATGCGATTGACTCCATGGGAAGGCTATCTGGGGTAAGTCCATTTGTGCCTTTAAACCTCTCGAACGGCCGGTGTTCGCATACTTCTGTCGATTGAGAAGGGAGGTCGACGGCTTCAGCGGTGTTAGGTTGAAAAAGTGTCAGTTTTTAGTTCCATGAAATAATCGTCGAACACCGCTGGTTTTTTGCATGGTTAAAATGGCCGCCGACATATGAACGACGACCACCCTGTATTCGGTTTTAATTGAGAAGTGTCTGTGGTTAACCGCAACGTTCTAATTGGGATCAATAGGTTAACCAGCAGCACACTTGTTGTGGTCGTGACCTAAATATGAATATTAATCTCTTAATACATAATAATTAAGCAATACGGAACAACATTAATATTTTTATAATTCATGGTATTATGGTCAAATATGTGGATAGAAAATACACAAAACGTTGTAATATTAAATGTATATTTAATATAACTATAATAAATAAACAGATGCTAGCAGAATGTCAATTTACTACAATAATGATAATACAAAACTACAACATATTACTTACAAAGGGTTGCTACATGTTACACAACATTTTACTTACAAGGCCCCAGCCCTTTGGCTGGGGTTAAGTCAGAGCTGGTACTACATCTTAGGTTCAGTCAGGTACAGGCAAAGAGACAGAGAGCTAGCTTCTCCTAACATCTGGTTTTTATTCAGTGTAAGTAGGCTGGCCTGTGATGTCACTGCCAGAAGCACAGGTCTTCCTACACAGTGGTGCCCCCAAAGCATTACACTAAATATGCTTTACTGACATCTAGTGGTGCGTCTAAAGCATTAAGCTCATTATGCTTTTTTTATGACAAAAAGTCATTAATTAATAAATACCATTACAACACTTCTCTTCTGGGTGGCCGTCCGTTCTGTAGTTCCGTTTGACAAAAAAATACATTCCCTTAAACAAGGCATACGAATGGGGAAATTCATACAAACGGCAAAACAGACGAACACAGCAATTCTAGTTCATACGAATGGGTCTGTCACAAGGCCATACTAGATTTAGTGTTAATAAATGGAGATTTGGTATCAGATATTACTGTAGGTGAAAGTATAGGATCCAGCGATCACCAGTCAGTGTGGTTTAATATAAGAACAGTGACAGAGTCACACCACACAAAAACAAAAGTTTTAGACTGTTAAAAAACAGACTTTTCTAAAATTAGAATATATGTAAAGAAGTTAATATCAGACTGGAGCAATTTAAATGGAGTCCAAGAAAAATTGGATAATTTGGGGGCATGGCCTGGCAGCTGAACCGCATGGACGCACGTCTGTGAGGCTCCTGAACCTGGAGAGAAATGGAGCAACAAATAACCGGTCTGCAAAGCATTAAATACTCGCAAGATACGGGAACAGCAACAGAATGTCACAGAGGCAAAAAATCAAGACCTCTAAGGCAGACAGAGCATCTTTTTTCCTCACTAAAACTCCCACGCCGAAAGCGCAGGAAGGCCACAGCCCACTCAAGGATGGCGGAACGCTTTACACCGTTGAGAACTCACTCTCTCCACCAGCCTCCCCGAGCTCGATGCCGGATGAGAGGCCGCTGACAGCAGCAACCATGCGACTAATGATGGCGGAGTTTTCCAAAAATATTCAAACCAATATGCGGACGCAAATCCACACGCTTTCCGCTGAGCTCAGAAAGGAACTACATGAAGATGGCCAACGTACTTATCAAGACGAAAAGAAAATGGACGAGTTTGCTAAGGCCCACAACAGCCTCGCAGACAAGCTCCAGGAGATGGAAGCGGCTCTCCAAGAACATAAATTGAAACTAGCGGATATCGAGGAGCGGGCTTGGAGGAATAACCTGCGCATAAGACTTAGTCGGTCCTCCCCTCTGCACTCAATGCTTACCTGTTGGATTTCTTCCAGGCCCTCACTCCAGAGATCCACCCGGACCAACCAATCATCGACAGGGCTCATCGACTCCGACGCCCACAACACCTACCCACCACAGCAGCCAGAGATGTGATCACCCGGGTGCACTTCTTTCATGCAGAAGAGAGGCTGAGACGGGCCTGCAGAGCGGCAGAGATGCCGGAACTCTACCAAGTGTTGAAGATCTTCACTGACCTCTCAGCCGCAACCCTCCAATTTCGGAAACGGATGGCACCACTCACAGCTGCACTAAGAACCCAAGGAGTGGCATGCAGGTGTGGATTCTCCGCAAAACTGCTCATCAGCAACAAGAACGGCATCCACTGAATCTCTTCCCTCAAGACCGGTATGGAGAAGCTCAAGGCCTGGGGTTTCAACCCTCCTGCTGCCGCGGAGGAACGCTCCAGCAAGGTGCCGCGAATGTCGCAAGACTGGACACTCACCTGAACATGGCTGATCACAGGAAGTATCTGGCAACATGGGTACACTAGTCTAAGAAAGGTATAAGACGTGGTGACGTAGTAGGCTACGTAGTGACGCTGTACGGAGTGGGCGGAGTTTTGCTTAGACCCGCAATGCTCAGAATTTTGGACGTTCTGACTACAGATCCGGTGACACAGGAATATACAACTACCCGTGGATGGTTCCTGGCGATCAACCTTTGGAATGAGCAACAGAGTGTTTTTTGAGAACCACAAGCGTTTGTAGCAGTGGAATGCTGCAGATACTCACTATTTTTCTCTTGTTAAAGGCTGATTTTAACTTTTCATTGTTATTATTACTGTATTATTTGGCTCTATACTGTTATTTTATCTTAAGACAGTTAGGTGTGTTGTCTGTCTAGTTTAAATAAATTGATGTGAATTTTTATCTGATATACTTGATTTAATGGTACTTCACTATGATGTGCTTTCTTTATTCTGTTATATATTACTCTGCGCAACAGTTACCTTGGGATTATTTGAGGTTCTTGAAGATATTAGCGCTCCACCAGAATAAGTATATTATTTTTATGGGTACACTAGTGCCACACCTGTCAGTATGTTAGTTACATAGTCCAAGATCACAATCCCCTACTGTACAGAATTGGAGACATACTCCTGTTTAGGGTACTGTAAACCGTTAAGCTAAACCCACTATCTCTGTCACCCCGCAGAGCTAATGTTCCATCCCTTGATTCAGATACTGACAGACTGTTACTCCGCCTACGCAACTTCCTCTCTAGAAAATATGCTAGCACTGTTAAATCTTATTATTACCTATCTTGTTGACTGCTATTTAGACAAGGAATTACCTGGGGTCTGACACCAGGGTGGGAAACCCCCCCTGCACCATACGCCACCTGACACCTTAACCTGCAGGATATTTCTCCTCCCCCTCCACCCCCACATCTGCCTTCCCAGAACAAGGACCCTGTTACAAGGACTCTATATACCGTTACCGCATAACCTTTGTTCGATTAAAACCCCTATTATGTCAGCATTCAGACCAGACAAACGCATTTCACGAACTATTATAAAGATCTATTCGTTTGTACGAACGATGGACCACCCAACCCTTGGCATGTGCCGCCACTTAACCCCGTCAACTCTAAATGTACCGAATGACCGACCACCCTACGGGCGGAGTGTGACGCTCATTAACCGCACAAGGCGCTGCGGTTAACCAACTAATGGACGGTCCCAAGGGACCCACGTTCGTATGTAATTCCCCGAAGGGAAACTGCTGAAAGCCTCACGAACAAGGGCCACCTGCATTTTGGCGTGTGGCATCAATTAGAATGCGGCTCTTGCGGTTAACTGCAGGTTAAGTACCCCCTTCCGGGCGGTCGCCCTTCATCTCCCGAATGGCCAGGACAACCAGACTGAGAGCTGGGATTCGTGCATCTCTGTAGCCGACCCCCGCTCCATGAGTATTAGGTCGAGGTCCTGCTGTCCATTGACCGACCTCAAAACATGGCCGCCATCAGGGGGATACACCAAAGTGCCGAATAAGACTTTCTATGGCAGAAACCTCCCGTTCTGTTCGTGGGATTTGGGCACAATTCGTATACTTGATGCGCCCAGATCTGAGCTGCCAAACGAATAGTGGAATGAACCATATTCACCCTGAAATGTCAAAGTTATGTATTTTTATGCTGTTTTCTAGGACACAATAAAGCATGGTCTTTTGGGTGCTTGGAGATAATTAGATTGTATAAACCGTTGGCCTCATTATTTCCAAGCTGGGCGGGTACTAGTTTGAATGATACATTGTATTATGATTGGTTGAATCCTTGTACTGCACCTGTATCCCATCAGGTCCATGGGGGGCTGTCCCTGGACCTGGGCACTTGCATAAATTGCCATGCTTATGTGCCAGTAAAGCCAGTTCGTTTTGACCCTCAACTCGCAGCCTCAACTCGTGTTGTAGTGATCCGGGAATCCTAGCGTTACTATAGCTAGTGGGATATTCTACACTTACAGGTTTCTACCGATTGAAGCACCATTCGCCTCTCTGACTTCGGGAACCAGGACATCCAAGCGATCCAACCTCCTGCTAGCCCGGAGGCGAACGTAACATACCCCATGCTATTAGGCACCGACAAATGTCACTGTAAATCACTCAGATTAATGGTCTGGCTAAGTAAGCCCATTTAGACCTCATGACGTTATGCATTGGCTAAGTAAGCCCACTCCGAGGTTAGGTATTGGCTAAGTAAGCCCACTCCGACGTTTTTTGTTTTTTCCTTTCAATTAATTAACAAAAAAAAAAAAACAGTACCTGCAACTCAGTACAAAGTTATTACCCAATAGCCATACAAAATGCTCCTCATCTCCAAAGGTGAGCTGCTGCCACTATGCCGAAGCTCACTACCATGCCCCCCGGCATTGGCGCCCAAGTCTATCTTGGCGCTATCTGGTTCTCATTAGGTAAACCCAGTTGAGTATTTTACCCCCAGGTTCCTTTACCCCATGCACCCCTTGCCCCCCCTACCACTTTACCCTCCACACCTATCCTCGCCAGCAGAAATAAAGTTGACCCGCAACACTTATATGCTGAAAGGGATTCTGAACCCCAACCCCCCGGGACCGGAAACCTCTGTACCTCAAAGTATAAGATGAATATCACGTGTCCAAGAGAACAACAGAAGCTATATGCACTGGCTTGCCACTGCTCACAATTCTGGGAGAAACAGGTGACCCTGATACAGGAGCCCATACACAGTTCACACCCACAAGACACAAACTCCAGCCCAAAGTATGAAAATTGTTACCTATAATGTTAAAGGGTTGAACACCCCTGGTAAGAGAAGACTGTTACTGAAAGATCTCCCGAAAAACAATATTGATATTGCATGTATACAAGAGACCTTAAGAGGGGATATACACCAGCCCTATTCACCAAACGCTACCCAGACCAAAACCACTCCCTATCCAATAGTAAAACTTGAGGGGTATCCATCTTCATACACAGAGACATCGCCTTCCAGCTCCAGCAGCAACACATAGATCCTGAAAGGCAGTACATCATACTCCTGTGGCTTTTCAATGATACTCAATATACGTTGGCCACGGCCTATTTTCCAAATGAAAACTCGAAAAATTATCTACACTCCTTGCTTAACAAAATTGACAAATAGAAAAAGGATAGCCTACTCCTATGTGGTGATTTTAACTTCACGCAGTCCAACCTAGACATGTCGGCCCTCGCCACAAACCGAACACAGACTATTAGAGAACGAGTGGCTAAAACACTTACCAAACTAATATTCTTGTATGACCTATATGATGCATGGAGGACACTCCATCCCACCGAAAGGGATTACACATTCTATTCCAGGGTGCATAACTCGTACACTCGAATAGACGCTTTTCTGGTGGACAGGGCCGCCTTAGCCCAACTCTCTAGATGCACCATAGGAGAGATAACCTGGTCGGATCATGCCCCAGTCACTTTGGAGCTGTTTGACCAGTTCCAATTTAGAGGGAAAAGGGCGTGGCGTCTAGAATGACTCCTTACTCTCAAACCCAGAATTTACAGCTACTATCTGTGACGAAACCCAGGAATATTTTTGAACACCACACCCGAAGTGACCGACTCCACACTCTGGTCTGCCCATAAGGTGGTAATTAGAGGCCTATTGATACGCAGCTCATCCTTTCTTAAAAAATGCCAAGCCACTAGCATCCTAGAGTGCCACAAACAAATTTCTCTAATGACTTCCCTAAATAAAACACAACCCACAGGGGAGCTAGCAAATAAACTGTCCAAATTGTATGACCGCCTAGCGGAACTGAACATGGAAAAGACTAGACACATGCTACATAAGCTGCGAGCTACCACATGCCACAACAGTGGCAAGGCATCAAAATACCTGGCATCTAGACTCAGACATAAATCCTCCACAAACAAGATAACCCACGTCAACAATGATGGGGGTAAGAAACTCACAAACCCAGGGGACATTGCTCAAGAATTTGCAAAATTCAACTCAAAAATCTATAATCTACACCAAGACACAAAGGTACACAGTCCGAACGACATGGGCATCTCCCAATACCTGTCCACCATCCAAGTTCCCCACATCTCTCAAGCTCACACTGAGCAGCTTCTGCAACCAATAGAACTCGAGGAGGTCATCTCAGCCATTAGAGCGTTACTCCCTGGTAAATCTCCAGGAGCCGATGGGTTTACAAACACATATTATAAAACATTCGCAGAGGATTAAGCACCTCACCTCCTCCGAGTATACCTGGAGGTGACATACCCCGGTTCTCTTCCACCAGCCAGTTACTAGCCACTATAGTTACAATCCCCAAACCAGATAAGTCGACCGACCAGTGTAAAAACTTTTGCCCCATATCCCTTCTAAACACGGATGTGAAGATATACGCCAAGATCCTAGCTAATAGGCTGAGCACCATCCTACCAACTTTGATAACAGACGACCAAACAGGGTTTATCCAGGGAAGACAAGGATCAGACAATACACGCAAACTCTCCCTGATAATGGAAGGGCTTCTGAGAACCAGTGGAGGCGGAATGCTTCTGGCATTATACGCAGAGAAAGCATTCGACCGCCTCGGCTGGTCCTTCCTGTCAGGGATCCGC